GGGGACACGTAGAAATATTCCAGACAGCTTCCAACGTTCAGGAGGGTGTAGCCAATGGCATCCTGCAAAAATATAATAATAATAATAATAATAATAATAATAATAATAATAATAATATTAATAATAATAATAATAATAATAGTAGTAGTAGTAGTAGTAGTAATAATAATAATAATAATAATAATAGTTAGTAATAATAATTATTATTATTATCATCATCATCATCATCATAATAATGATCATAATAATCCTATTAATCATAATAATCAGAACAATCATAATAATAAAATAAATGATAATGTCATTAATAATAATAATAATGATAATCTTATAATAATAGGCTAATAATAATAGGCTAACAATAATAATAATAATTTAACACATATCCACGTTCTACAGCAAGCCTTGTGTGCTTTAACTATATTATCCCAGGAGACCAAAAAGTGAATGTTTGTACAAGTAACAGTCTTAGACAGGTGGTCATAAGAGCAGGTTAGACTGCATATCATATAGTGTAATAGTTGAAATATTTGTATGCCACTGCTGGCCATCAAATAAAACCTAAACATCTTACACTTACACACAATTGGAATTCATCAAGGTAAGGAACATATCTCCACAGGTGCCAACTGGCAATGAAATCAAATCTGGAACTTTTCAGACCCCATGGAAATGCGACAGGTGGCTATTCAAAACTAACAGATCACATCATTATCTAATCTGTCTTGTTCAAAACTATTCTTTACTGAAGTTCTGAAATTGCGCAAAATCCGGACAATGCCAGAACAGATATCAAGACTTCCGGATTTATCCCGAAAATCGGTACCTCTGTATTTTGTCAGTCATAAACTTACCCCATCGAGATCCCGGGCAGTGAGAGGCAGGATGAGACTTCCTGCGGCCAGCGACTCTCTGACCGTCTCGGAGTACGAGGGGAGCTCAAACACGGGAGCGTTGGGATTACGTATCACATTGATGGTCACAGTGGCAGCGGCCAAGTTGTTGGGGTAGAAACTGTCGTACGCTCGGATGCTCAGCTGAAACAAGATACGTCATCGTTTTTTGGGGTTCTTTTTAGTTTTAGTAAGAGTTTTACGCCACTTACTAAAACCGAAAAAAAAGTTTAAAATAAAAAATAATAGAAATTGTTCCAACTTTTGTTCTGACTCATATAAGAGAAAAAAAACTTTCAGTATCGTTTGATATCTTTAACATTATGTAGCACTTTTTTTAAAGCTCAACAATGACAAGTCACATATTTTTTAAAAACAGACATGGGGAAAAAAGAAGAGAAAAAAAGGACAAAGAATTGTCTTAAATAAATTCATCGTTTTTTGGGGGTCCTTTTAAGTTTTGTAAGAGTTTTACAGCACTTACAAAAACTTTAAAAAAACAATTGTTCCATCTTTTGTTCTGACTCATCTAAGAGGAAGAAAACTTTCAGTATCGTTAGATATTGCTAGCATTATGATGCACTAATTTTAAAATTCAATGGTGACACTTTGAACAATAAAAAGAGGGACGCGGGACAAAGAGAAGAATTTCTTTTTAAAGACACAAAATAGTCTTAGACTTATCTGAGTAACATAAGCCTAACATACACATAATACACACAAAAACTTAATATAACATAATACAAATATACTTTTCTTCTTCAGATATGAACCTGAAAAAATATTTTGTCGACTATAATCCAACTCCGAATTATACCTTGATCCATATCAATTGTCTGTCCTTCTCTTTGGTTTCTCTCAAATCAAACTTCTTCAACGACCTTAGACATACCCATGTTACTTTTCAGTGTTTTCTCTCCTTCTACTTCTCCCTGTCTCCCTCTCTCGCCTTCCTTCCCCACCCCCACCTCTCTCTCTCTCTCTCTCTCTCTCTCTCTCTCACTCTCTCTCTCTCTCTCTCTCTCTCTCTCTCTCTCTCTCTCTCTCTCTCTCTCTCTCTCTCTCTCTCTCTCTCTCTCTCTCTCTCTCTCTCTCTCTCTCTCTCCTTCTCTCTTCGTTACATCTCTTATCTTGTCTGTCCCTCTTTCACTTTAGTCCTATTCTCCCCCCTTCCCTCCCCCCTCCCCCACATAAACACACATACACACTGATTCCTCTCTTCCTCTCTCCACCTATTAAGTCCCTCTTGACTTACAATGTACAGCTCTTGTGCACTCTCCCTCAGGTTGTTCCTCACTCGCACAACACCAGAGAATGCGTCGATCGAGAAAAACGCTAGAGCAGGTCCATCTCCGATCGCTTCGTACACGATTGTGTCCTGGAAATGAGGACAGAGATATATTCATTCATTTCTTCGGACAAAAAAAAATCCCATAAAATACAAAACTTCACCGAAGAAACAAGAATGATTTCTTCTCAGTATTTAACAGAATAAAACAGAAATGTTTCTCACCATCATCATAAAAATCATAATTCCTCTTCTCAAAACAATACAATCAATAATAATTTGTTTTTACTTTATGAGAAATGCAAAAAATTTCTTCCATACTATAATGAAACTTTTGATCCTTCTTACCAAACAATCCAATACTTTTGTACCTATTCTCCCTACTAAACAACCCAATTTACTATCTAATAAACATTCAACGCAAGGGATACAATTAAATACACAACACTAATCTTTTTTCAATGCCAACAAAAAAAAACTCACATCCTGTAATTCCATTCAATGAATAAATCTTTCCTTTGACAATAATTCAAATACTCCAAAAATAGATGTAACGTATTATTTTATAAGAAGAGCAAAAAGAAATGTCAAGAACTTGTGAGACGGAAAGTAAGGTAGCAATAATTTTTAAATCTCAAATAAAAACAAATAAATCTCAGATTAGATAACATAAACTGAAACAATTGTTGGAGGAGTTTATGAAGACAGAAAAGCGCCCTCTTTACCTGGAGGTCATCGTCTGAAGCCACGACAGTTTGGATCGTGTCGTTGATGGCCGTTGTCTCCACGATTGTAACGATGTAGTTGGAGCGTGAGAAGCTCGGGCTGAACTGATCACGGATGATGTTGATCTGCACCGAGGCCTGGTCGGTCTTCTGAGGGTACCCGTCATCACGAGCCACCACTGTGAACTGGACACGGAAAACACAAACTGTAAACGGTCTCGGTGCAAAAAATATGGTGAAAAAATTTGTCTGGTAACTGGTTTTATACATGTAAGTCTTGTCAGAAGACCATTCCTATTCATTTGTTTTAACTGTTGAAAAACAACTATAAGTTAAATGATACAGCATATAATTTTAATTCCTTCACAAAAAATTATGCCAGCAAGTTTTAACTTTTGTTCTCATTCTAGGATATATTTTTCAAAATATTTTCAGGACATAATACTTAATCAAAAAGAAAGGAAAGCATAATATTATTTAGCAAGGGAATTAGACTTGTTCATATTTTACCAATTAATTATTACCTAACTAAATTATGCTGACTCTCCATTGCTGAATTATAAAGTCTTGGAAAAAAATGCACCAAAAAAAACAGTAGTGCAAAACCAAAGTCAAAAAAATGCTGAGCATCATGATGAAAGGATCATACCAAGTACTGGCTCTGAGAGCTAAGTGCCAGGTTCTTCCTGATGAATATGGTTCCCGACCCTGGATTGATGAAGAAGAAATCTTGAGCAGTGATTCCGTTCTGGGAGGCAGCATCTATCTCATAGGTGACAACATCCTGAGGAGATACAAAAGGTCAAAGGTTGACAGCTGCTACGTAAAAATACAAAAGTTCTGTTATCTGTTACCCACAATGCTTTCAAGGGAAATGCTTGGACAGTGCTTGTCAAACTTTTTACAGCCAGTGCTCACTTTTCAGAGGTTAACATTTTTGTACAACCCATCCACTAGTGCATCCAAGGGGAACATTTAATAATACCTGTCACTATGAGGGTGATTCCCATCACTAACTTTAATTACCAAATTGCCCACAAGAAGGAGCCAAGAGTAGTAACAGAAAGAGTCAGGAGCCCTGAGGTAGGAGGGGGTGGGGAGGATGGGGGGTGAACAAATGGAAATGAAAGCAGATAACAGAACATGATTAGAGAGCAGGAAAGGAGGTGAAAGGAGAATATGTTAGAGAAGCAAATTTTCTGTCGCTGTCAGGTTTTGAACCCGGGACCTATTGAATGAGAGGTGAACATCTTAACCCCTAGACTACGAGAGCCCCCTGTGAGTTAACACTGAGTGGAAGTTTTCATGACGTTTTTTGTTACCCGATGTGCACTATATTTTTGGCGGAACGTTACATTCCACATCGTCTTTGCTATTGTGCAGTATTATAATATGTTTGAATTTGATTGATTATCATGTATTGATAGAATATTATGTATCCAAATATGGCGGTCGTTGATGTGGAGATGCCTTGCAAGGATAAGGCAACATTGTTCATTTTGATTTTTGATGAAAATAAAAATAAACAAATGTTTGTGCACATCGGAGTGACTGTAGTTATTTATGAGTGCTGTTACTTGAACATAAAAGAATATACTAACCTTTTGGTTGCTTAGGGAGACGCGTTTACAACAAGTGTTAGCCAAACCTGTCTCTCTCTCTAGATCATGTGATCCTTTTCTCTTCAGTGGAGCCCTGATGCGTTGGAATCTCACAAGACAAGCACAGAAATAGACTGAGGCTCTAAACAACCATTCCCCTTTCCTCACCCCAAAATCTCTGCAGGCCTCCTCTGCCTCGATACAGCTCTTCCCTCTAACCTGCTGTAATCAAGACTGCACTCGTCTCCCACTTACTCACTCACTCTCTCTGCTTTATACACTTGCGCCAAACAATACAACTGAACTGAAACTGAACTCATCTCACACTTACTCACTCACTCTCTCAGCTTTATACACTTGCGCCAAACAATACAACTGAACTGAAACTGAACTCATCTCACACTTACTCACTCACTCTCTCAGCTTTATACACTTGCGCCAAACAATACAACTGAACTGAAACTGAACTCATCTCACACTTACTCACTCACTCTCTCTGCTTTTCACACTTGCGCCAAACAATACAATAGGCTAGGCCTAACCCCCTGCTACCGACCAACACGCCAGATTGCCCAATAAACAGCCAAATAGACCACAACATGTTTTACGGGAAGCACGTCCCAACTTACGCCATCTCCCTCGGAGGCAGAGACTTGCAGGACGCTGGTCCCCTGGGCCTCAGACTCCGACACTGTCTGCACGTAGAAGTTCTGGCTGAACACGGGAGGGCTGGGGTTCCTGGTCACGTCGATGAGCACGTCCTCCGCCACTCTCAGGTCCTGGCGCAGCACTTCAAAGGCTTCAATACGCAGCTGGAGAAAGACACAGAGTATGTATCTATATATAACTCCAACGGTCTTGTAATTAAATTCCTGCATGTGGTTGAATGATGCAGCTGATGTGATATGCATGCCTACATATTGTCAGCTTTACTTCTCTTTTCATATTGAATTTTAATGAGAGTAATATATAAATTAAATTTTGTATGTATACCTGCATGTGTTTTTACGTCCTGTACAGCCAAGAAAAATTTCCCTCTAGGATAATAAAGTATTATCCTATCTTATCTTATCTTATCTTATCTTATCTTATATTATCTTATCTTATCTTATCTTATCTTATCTTATCTTTTCTTTTCTTTTCTTTTAAAAAATGTTAAAATATCGTATGTCTGCCAGCTGTTCAGAAGTACTAATCTAAAAAAAAATAAATCTTTTTTTCAACTGTAAAACATCAAGTATAAGAAATACAATACAAACAAGTATGTTTTTTTACTTATTTTGTATGATCTTTCAGCAGACAAAGAAAGCGCGTGAGAGAGAGACAGGTAAAAAGAGAGAGACAGAGAGAAAGCGAAAGAGAGAGGTAGGTAGAGAGAGAAAGAGACAGAGTGAGAGACAACAAGAGAAAGAGAGGGGAAGAGAGAGAGAGAGAGAGAGAGAGAGAGAGAGAGAGAGAGAGAGAGAGAGAGAGAGAGAGCGAGAGAGAGGCAGTGAGCCAGAGAAAGAGAGGAAGAGAGTGAAAGAGAAAGAGACAGAGCGAGAGAGAACAAGAGAGAGAGAGGGGGGGAGAGAGAGAGAGACAGAGAGAAAGAAAGAGAGAGAGAGACAGAGAGAGAGAGAGGGGGGGGGGGGCACACACACACACACATCTCATTTTCAGTCTATGAAAAATGGAATGCTTGAAATGGCTTGCTCAGACACATCATGTTGAAAAACAACAGCAACAACAACAACAACAACAGCAACAACAACAACAGCAGCAACAACAAACTGACTTACCACATAAAGGAGAGATGCGAACTGATCGTTGATGATGCTCTGTTTGAGGGTGATCTGACCCGACAATGGGTTCAGCTCGAAGTAAGAGCTGCCAGGGAAGTAGCCGACTAAGGCATACTGTATAGGACTCTGTGGGAAGACAACAAACAGCATGCTAATGTACTACACACTACGAATATACTACACACTACAGAGGTACTACACACTATACAAGTATGCTTTCCCGGAAGCTGAGAATGTCTCCGAGTGGCCTACGGTTTGCTGGGGTAATAAAACACAAATAATTTGGTTCTCAGCGGGGGTACACACTTTAAAGAATGCTTTTTAAAATGTATCTTTATTGTTAATCAATATCATTATAATGAGAATCTATATTATTTTTATTTTCATTTCTACTATTGTTATACACAGAGTCTGTTTCTTTAATTTTTCTCAAACCAAACTTCTTCGATAAGAAACCGGCATTTTTCCGCAGATTTTGGAATTTTTATCGAATTTTTGTTTTTCGGCTTAACTCTTTTTATGCCAATTAAAAACACATTTCAGTAAGGATTTTACTGAGAAACCTTGATGAAATGCATAAAAGATGTAAAATTTCAGTTTACACTGGCTCTCAAGCTAAGGAAATAAACTAAACTTTGGTGGCCATTTTCTCGCTAATTGTATCTCTGAAACCAGGCGACCCCAGCTCCTTCAAACACAAATTTCTTAACTTCTATTCAAGATAAATGGGTATTGTTTTAATCTAAAGCAAGGCAAAAGGACAGGCTTCAAGATGAAACCAATGACTCCATATGCCCCAAAATTGACGAGCACCTGATTCCATCGCATCGTGACACATTTGTGGGAATCTATTTTGCCCTCACTTTTCATGTCATTTTAGTAATAATGATCTTAATATTATAATAATAATAATATATAACATTTATATAGCGCATTTCCAAAAAAATAGCTCAATGCGATTTACATTGGAACACCCATTTTCAAAACCTTTCTTACTACTTCCTTTCTTCTCATGCAGTATATATTTTCACACACACACAGACAATTTTCATTCAGACGTAGACACAGAACAACTATAATTTAAAAAATAACACTAAAAGCTTATGAAGGATAGGCCTGTAGGAACAGAAAATGCTTAAGATGTCTTTTGAAGCTATCAGCTCTTATCTCATTTCATCTTATCTTATCTTATCTTATCTTATCTTATCTTGTCTTGTCTTGTCTTGTCCACCGCATCGTGACACAATTTCACAACACTCATGCAAGCATCTCTCATCTCTGCATTTAGTTTTAGTAGTTTTAGTAGAGGTTTTACGGCGCTCGCAGCTGCATAAGGTCATATGAGCGCCAGAAGATTAGAGGTGCTACAAGAGAGTAACAAACATAAAAAAGAAGAAGGGGTGATAAGGACGATTGATGTTTGATAGGAAAGAAGAAGCAAGCCACACCAGACCACCCGCCAACCACCCACTCACCTGAGCATCGAGATCCCTGGCCGTGACTTGGTAGATGGTCGAGTTGACGGCTTGGTTCACGTCGATGGTGGTCCTGTACGGAGTGTTCAGGAACACTGGCGGCTCGTCCGTGATTCTCTGGATGAAGATTCGAACCGACGCCAGAGCTCCTCGCCCGCGGTTGTCCTTAGCGTTGACAGTCAACTGTGGGCAAAAAGTTGGTGGTTTTATTAACCAGAAGTCAAACATTATGTCACACAAGCAAGAAGTCAATTTGGGGGAAGATTAAAAAATAACACAATTGACGGAGGAGGTCTAATACAAAAGAAAACACAAATAGGAAACCAAGATAAATCAAAACTATATTGAGTTCTCCAAAAGGATCTAATCAAAATTGCTACTGTTGTTGCTTTTAAATCCTTTTAGCTGCGAGCATTTTGCTCTTGGCAGCGGAATGCCTCCCTTTAATCAAAAGTTAAAACGTGTCAAGCATAGTCTGGCTTTGCTATATTCTCACATTTACATTACATGGGTTATGATGAGTACTATTGTGTATAAGATCTACTAATGTTGTAAATCATTTTGATATGGAAACACCAAAAGACGTAGTCCAGAACCAGTGAGTAACCTGTTCACTGCTGTGTAGACTTGCATGTACTCATTTGCATTCTCCAATTTTGTCAACTGCCGTTTTTTCTACTGGTTCATACAGGATATTCTACAAGATGTATTTGCCACTTTGGCAGATTCTAGCCCTTTAAACCCCATCAGACGCTCCCATTGGATGCAGGGAAGTGACAACTGTTTTGTTTCATTTACTGCTAGTTTTTGCTTGTTTTTCAGAACTATTCCCCAAACAATTTTTTTAGTAATGACTAAGCCTTTGTTTCTGCCATTTAGAAGTTGGAGTCAAGCTTTTGGGGTTATAATGAGACATAGTGCACCAGGTTTAGGCGACTGTAGAAAAAAACTCTGGGGAAACGGTGGAACAAACTCAGGGTTCAAAGAGTCAATTCGGGGAAACTTTCTGGCTTTGCTTTGATCATTCTTGAATCAACCTTTATTCTTGTCGGTGCAAACGTTAACAAAAAGGGTTAAGACAACTCACAGTGTACAAGTTCAACGGAGCTGATGTAAGGGCTTTTCTACTGCTGATTTCACCGGTGTCTCGATCCAGGAAGAAATACTGAGTGCCATTGGACGTGGGGTTCACCAGCTCATAGGTCACAATATCCTGAGGAACAGATTAGAAATATTTGAAAAATTATCTCTAAAATATATACAGAGGTGCTAACTAGCTATGAAAATGAATCCTGAAATTTTCAGACCCTACCCAAATTTGCAAACTTCTCTCTAAAATATATACAGCGGTGGCGACTAGCAATGAAAGTGAATCCTGTACATTTCAGACCCTACAGAAATGCATGCACGGGACTCAAAAAGTTAGATTTTATCGTCTTATTCATCTTGTATCAAGACTATTTTAAAATAAAGTGCTATATGCCTTGCTCAAAGATATCAAAATGTACATGAGCATATAAGCAGAAATATATTACATCATACAAGAAACAATTACACATACTTAAAGTATCCAAAAGCAATTTCAGAAACTGCACGAATGGATTTTTCCAGAACATCAGCACCCCTGGTATATACAGTAGATATAAGAAAAGTAATTATGTGATGCTTTTGAAGCTTATTTGAAGAGAATGCATAATTATTGATTCGAGCCATTAATCATATTGAACTAAACTTCAGGTACATGAATATTCACAAACACTTTTGCTAAAGAAGGTGACGACTAAATCACTGTCAAACTATGTAAGAAAATGTATTTCTCAAAGATCAGTTATTTTTGTTTAATCGCTCATATTATAGGCAAATATATACGGTACTTTTACAGCCCTTTCAACACAACCTGCACCATGCAAGAGGTACAAACAGAACCACAGCGTTTTTCTCACCCCAGCATCTCGGTCCTGGGCTGAGACAGAGATGACTCTCGCCCCGATGTCGATGTTTTCGTTGACCGTCGTCTCATAGGTAGCGGAGGGCACAAAGATGGGCCCATTCACGTTCCTCAGTACGATAATGGTGACGTCACTAGTGGCGCGGTTGGCAGCATAGGCGTTGTCATAGGCAACAAGACGCAGCTGAAGGAGAAAAAAAAACAAACAACATACATCAGTGTCAGTTCATTAACTCTTTCAGTTTGCAAGATGCAAGGGATTCTACAATTTTACGCATCCAACAGCAAAGGATGTTACCCTAAAACAGCTATAATTTAGTCAAATATTGATGGATTTGCTTGCGTGAGCACTCAAACTATTCGTGATTGGACAAAGTATCACAATATGGGTGAAAATAGGTAGTAAACATAGCACAGGATCAGGTGAAGGGTTTGGGGTTGACGGAATCAGTACTCCTAAAATGACACTTACGGGACGAGTCAATGAAACGCAAAATCTACAATTTTAAAACATTTTTCAAAATTTTGGGATAAGTACATCTGAACAGTTGGCCAACGATAAAAGTTTTTCGAATCAGTCAGCTAGAAGAAGGTTGCTTTTTCTGTATGATATGATAAGTTGAGATAAGATCAGATCAGATCAGATCAGATCAGATAAGATGATACTTTATTGTGCCACTGGGAAACTTTTCTTGGCTGTACAGGAATTGTAAAAACACCTACAGATATACACAGAATTTTAATCTTCCATTATTTGAACAAAAATTCAATATGAAGAGAAAAATAAGCTGATAACAATTAATACACATATCACATGAGATGTATTTTTCAACGCCATGAGAAAGAGAGAGAGAGAGAGAGAGAGAGAGAGAGAGAGAGAGAGAGAGAGAGAGAAAGAGAGAGAGAGAAAGAGAGAGAGAGAAAGAGAGAGAGAGAAATTTTTTTATTTAATGTTTCTAATTATTCAAGTTTCAATTTTATTGTGACGGTTCGTGAGTTTTTATAGCATTCTATATTTTAAGCGAACGAATTGCCAGGCTCACTGCGTGACTATTTTTCTCACAGAAATTTTTCTAGGCCTACATATACATATACAGGCATAATACTATGTTTAACATACGCATATGTCCTTTAATCTTTAAGGTGTGATATTATTAATAATGTAATGCGCATTCAAATAGCGTTTTTTTACATTTTTAAGAAAATGTGAATGCGCAGCATAAATGCTTTTTATTATTATTATTATGTTTCTTTTTGTAATAACAATACCAGCCCCACCAAAAAAAACCAGACAGAATGTGGAAAGGTCATCATTGACTGACCGTGTAGGAGGTGGCCTGGAGCGGGTCGGTCAGGAGAGACTTGATGACCGAGACACCCCCGGTGATGGCGTTCACGTCGAAGAACTCGTTGGCCGGGTACACGCCGATCGTTTGATACAGGATCAGGCCCTGAAACAAAGATCGGTGATAATGTGTTCACTCAAGCAATCTTGCCCTTCAAGCCACTCCATAATAATAACAATAATAATAATAATAATAGTAATTATAATAATATATAATAATAATAATAATAATAATAATAAGTAGTAACAATAATAATAGTAACAATAATATAACATAACAACTTAATTATGGCACAGACAAAATTGTCATTGCATAAAGAACCAAAGAAACAACACAAACTTTTGTACTTAAAACTGTACCATTGATGCTAGATCAAGCAATACCAGCACCAAAAAATAAAAATATAAAAGACAGCAATAACATAAAAACAAACAAACTATCAAAAGCAAAATGCTGGACTTAAGAAAGTCACAATACAAACAAAACAAATGTTGAGTAGATTAAAATAATAACTTTGTCAAGAAAGATTAAGATAAAAACAAAACAAACAATCAAACCACACAAACTCTTCAACTCACAACAAGATTATTGTCATCTACAGATGTAAAAAAAAAAATAGCTCAAGAAAAGTAAAATACCTAAACAAACTATAAAACAACACAAACTCTTCCATTCACAACAACATCATTGTCATCAAGGCAGGAAAAAAAAGCGGCTAAAAAAAAAGTAAGAAGTAAACAAGCAATAAAACAGCACTCCCAACAATATCGTTGTCATCAGAAAAAAACACAAAAATTGGCTCAAGAAAAGTAAAAATATAGACAAACTCACCACAAAACCATTGTCATTGAAAGACTTTAAAAAACTGGCTCAAGAAAAGTAAAAAGCCTAAACAAAATATAAAACAACACAAACTCTTAGACTCACAACAAAATCATTGTCATTTTCAGATTTTAAAAAAATAACTAGCTCCACAAAAGTAAACAGCAAACAAACAATAAAACACCACTCACAACAATATCGTTGTTATCGACAGAAAAACACAAAAATTGGCTCAAGAAAAGTTAAATGGTAAACAAACTCACAACAAGACCTCTATCATTGAAAGACTTTTAAAAACTAGCTCTAGAAAAGTAAAAACCTAAACAAACTCACAACAATATCGTTGTTATTGACAGAAAAAACCACAAAAATTGGCTCAAGAAAAGTAAAAAGCAAACACACAATAAAACAGCACTCACAACAACATCAATGTCATCAACAGAAAAAAAACAACCTGGTTTAAAAAAACTAAATATCCAACAAACTCACTACATGACTGTTATTATAGACAGAAAAAAACACAAAAACTGGCTCAAGAAAAGTAAAAAGCAAACACACAATCAAACAACACAGACTCTTCGACTCACCACAAGATCGTTGTCGCTGGCAGACACTGTAGTGACCGAGGCGCCCACAGGCACCGTCTCTACGATGCTGGCGTTGTAGCTCGGGAGCAGGAAGAACGGATCCTGGTTGTCTCGGATCACAGTCACAAACACCGAAACCACGGCCGCTTTTTCCGGAATGCGCTGGTCACTGGCACCAACAGACAGCTGAGGAAAAACGAAACAAAATAAAGACATGACGTAGGTGGTGATATTTCTCTTGTCGCATCTCTGTTCACTTCGCTATCTTAGGATTACAAAGTTCTATCTACTCGATACCTAGTTTCGAGATATTTGACATTAAAAAATGTTTAACCTCACTAAATGTCAAGCTTTTTCAAATAAACTTCTTTGAATATCTTGATAACAACTCCGAATATAATCTTAACATTTTAATAGAGCATTTAGAACGTTTGGTTTCAGACCTCTTAGTTTCAGCGACTCTAAATGGCCAAAAAGCCAGACAGAACTTTGTCATATTCTAGGGTAGCGACCTGTTGCTTTTTCTCTCAAGACATTTGTGAGTGTTGTTCAATGTGTCATACAGCTGTGTTGTGTCATTCAGTGAGTGTGTCATATAGCTGTGTTGTGTCATTCAGTGTGTGTGTCATACAGCTGTGTTGTGTCATTCAGTGTGTGTGTCATGTAGCTGTGTTGTGTCATTCAGTGTGACATATGGCTGTGTTG